TTAAAAACAGGAAAGTTCCCATGAGTGAAGGGGGGAAAGTGAGCTTCTCCAGCCCCTGCTCTCCCCCAGGTCTCACTCTTCTCTGCCACCCCCCAAAAGGAATGAATTACATTTCTCTTCTTGTCCTTTAAATGAATAGCATAGTTTGGGTGAAATTATCGGGCAATTGCATGCCTTTTATGCAGATAATGCTATTTGATGAAAGCGGTGTTTTGATCTGCTAAGGATAATACAGATCCAGGGTTGGATTCATTGGTGAGAGTAAAGCTGTCTTCTGTGATAACTTCATCTCAGCATGAGGTCAGACGGGGAAAACTGGGATGGGGGATTAAAAAATGACACAGTCGGAGCAGTATTCAGTTCCCTGCTGTGCTCCTGGCTGCACACTATAGCTTATGTTTCTGATCTGTTATGGTATTGTCTGCCTTTCTCTCTCAGAGCAGAAAGAGATTGCTTAAAACTTTTCTTTTTTCAGCTAGAGGGATTAGTTCTGTGCAGCTTTTTTAATTAAAGAAACTGTATCTTTTTCAAGGCAATTTAAAGCTGCAAGGGAAGGACCATCAACATCCATAACTCAGTACTATTATCTGTAACAAAGTGTGAGCTCTAAATTTGATATTCAAAAATAGGAGAAGGAAGCTCTAGGATTCTGTTATGTTTTGAACCTTCCGTGATTGTGCGGGTCCCCAAATGAGGAATAGCAAATAAATTATTTTGTATAAGTCCTGAATATGTTTCCATAAGTAGCAACTTCTAGCCGCTTTGCTTTTTAGCGAAGCTGAGCTTGCTTAATTAAATCTTCATGATGATAGCGAAGTGCACTTGAAAATTGTGTAAGAGGAAATAGGTTTGACTATATATCTTTTTCTTTACCCAGAGATCATTTTTAAACATTTCCATCCTGCTGAAAGTGATAACAGTAGAAAATGTCTGCTTAATAAGGGCAATTTGCATTTAAACAGTGCAAAGTACAACATTATGGTACTTTATCACAAAGAACCTCCGCGTTTGTGATAAGTGGTCATCATCTTTATTAATCTGAGGGGAGCACGGATTGGATCTATCCAAAGTGATGATGAATTTGTCAGGACGTATACATTTGAGTTGAATTTATAGCTCAATTTAACCCAGGTTAATGTCGAAAATCCTCAAATGTTTCAAATAAGGCCCATATGGTTATCACTTTACAAAGCATACAGGCTCTGTGCTTTGGTTGCTACATACACATCACCAACTAAATTCCATGCCAGATCAATTAGAAACAGTCCTCCTGAGCGGAGAGGAACAAACAGAGATTGTTTCCCCAATACCAGCTGAACCCTTGTCTTGAAGAAATGAAAAGCAGTCATCTTAGGTTCTACACTTCTTACCATTAAAAGTCCAGAGGAATTCGGTAAACAATAAGGGTGTCATAGTATCGTATTTAGTAGAACATACTTAGGGTATCTGCATTTGATCAGTGCTTACTACCAATTTTTCCAAATTTCCGTATATGCTCCGTCTTACTGAAAAAGAGGAACACAAAATTTGATCTCTTTCCTTTTCCCCATTATTTTTGTCTTTACTTCAAACTGTGTGTCTGAGAAGTCAACCAAGTTCAGAGGTGAACTGATGTGGCTTGATATCATAACTGGAATTTTTAAATGATGTGCCATTAAAAAATGGATGGGCAGAAAAGTGGAAAGTGTACTTAATAAGTATATTCTTGAAGTCAATTTTATTTATGACCCATCCTTTAAAAAAAAGTTGGAATGACTGAATAGGGTGAAAATATTTTATTCATGCATTCACTCATTCATTCAACAACCACTTAATGAACATCTTCTGTATGGCAGCCCTTTGTGCTGGACCCTGTGGTTTTAAAGAGCTATTGCAAAAGGCCCATTTAATAAAATAGTGCCATCGTTTATTACATGCAGAAAATACTATGGAAGCCCTTCCGAGGACTTAATGGGTGCTCTAATAAATAGGAGCTCCAGAGGCTGAGAGTACAGGACGTCCCGGACTCAGGAGTCGACAAAGGGAGGACGGAGTAGGACACTCCTGGGAAATGAGAAGATGCTCAGTGAGTCTGCAGCTGAATGTAGTCACTTGATGCCTACGTTTTTCATCTATGTCTACAAGTTAACTTATAGACTGGATCCCGAAACATCTAAAGGACATCATATTCTTAACAAAACTGTCCTCTGTCATGAATTTATAAACCTTGCGCAGCTAGCGTCTGCCTTAAATACACCATATACTGTATACAGTGTGTACCGTAAATATGGTATAGATATTGCTTATCAAAAAGCTGTCCACAGAAAACATGACAGATTTTAAAGGGTACTCCGTGGTAACTATTAAGTTTAAAGGTTTTTTATCTTTCAGTGTGGGAAAATGTGGCATGCTTTAAACACACATGTGGACTGAAACCAAAATGGAAAGTGCCACGTGTGGAAAGACGCTTCTGTGTTCAAAATCCTTCGAGGAACTGGGTTTTCTATGTGACCGAAGCAAAACCAAGTCGGCAGTGGGGTTGCGTTCCATGCATGCCTTTTCACCAGAGACCAGAGCCACGTGGAGCCTCTGTTTACGCAGTGGAACACAGACCAATGTACTGGAAAAGCAGGGCCGCATTTAAAGGTTGGTTTGTCTGATCACCAGTTCGCTGGATAGCTCCAAAAGGCATGTGCATTGAGAGAGGCCTGTCCTGCTTTAATGAAGGTAATGAAAGCCTGTTTTCCACCGCCAATAGTCATTTAATTTTATGACTTGATCAGTGATCAAATCAGAATGCTTGTTTTACAGTTTCCCTCAACCTAACAGCCAAGGGAAATCAGTTGATTATTTTCCCAGGAGAAGAAACAACAAACACCTGACAGTAACTTTAGAGCTACTTGAGAGGTTTCTGTGTAACAGTTAAGTTCTAGTGCTGTACATTGTTCTAGGTTAGTGGTCTGCTACCTGCAAACTGATTTGTTTAACCAGCATCCTCCAAGTGCCTAGGACTCACCTTCTTCTCCTGACTGCCAGCCTTCAGGCTGTTTTAAGCTGCTCATCACTTACTGTTCTCAATTGAGACATAACCTCCTTTTGGAAGTATGTAGATTATTGGCTTGCCTGATCTTTTCAAAGGGTCAGTGGGAAGGTCTAAGAGTCTCCACTATGGCTCCTTCAGTCATTTCCCGCCTTCCTTGTCAGTGCCAGAACCCTTCAGGCCGGAGAGGTTGCAGCCGGATTTGAGCCCTACAGTCAGGCCATTCTTGCCTCAGTTTGCTAGAGCCGATGTAGTAAGTCCAAAGAATGCCCATGAAGTGGAGCGGTGCCCAGGAGCCTCCTTGGAGAGCCTCCTACCTGCCTGACCCCGTGCCCCCTTCTGCACTCCTGAAAGCCCCGCCTGTCAAAGGAGGATGTAGCCTTGGAGGCCAGCTGCGCCCCACGGGAGGGAGGCCCAAGCGGGGGCTTCAGGCTCGACCTGGAGAAAACCGACAGTCCCCAAAACATCAGCCTCCAGGGAAGGCTTCCGTGATGCTGACTTACATGGATAGACATCCCCTTCGAGTGCGGAGCGACCCTCGCCTGAGGTGGGGAGTTGATGGCGCGACAGAACAGCGCGGTGGGCCCAGCCTCCGCAGCAGGGCAAAGCACGGGTCCCTTTCCCACCCCACCTCAGTCCTGAGGGCATGGTCAGTTCCTAATCCCAAAGTGGTTCGGTCCATTATCTTCCTCCCCAAGCATCCTGTAGAGGTTTGCAAGGGCCACAGGCATGCATTTCCAGGGGTGGGGTGCGGGCTGCAAGGGGAGCTCGGCAAGATTTTTTTTTTTTTCCGGAGAGCCGCGTATCACTGTGACAAGGGGGCCCCACGGGAGGGCGATGCCGCCAGCTCAGCCCCATTATCCTGTGCAAGACCGGCTGCCTTCACGCGGCAAAGTCACACCAGCCGCGCCCGGCAGAGTTTGCTGTGAGCGGCCAGAGGTTTGTAAAACAGCCAGCCACGTCTTGCATTTCTTCTCCCGCTGGAGTTTTTATTGCAGCCGAGGGCACGGCGTGATCTACCCACCATCCCCGCCCTCCCATGACAGGAGCTCAGCGAGGCAAAAAGCCTGATGGTCACGTAGCAGGCTGCCTCTCTGCTTTCCAAGGATGCATTCGGAGGAGAAAGCGTCTGGTATAGTTTGGCACTGTACAACATCAGCTTTTCCTAAGGACCTCGAATGATGGAACTTTTTTGTTAGTGGGGGTAGGGGTTGGGGGGGTGGGTGGGAACCCAACCCACGAAGCCTCAAACTTAGCACACATAAACTGCCTGGATTTCGGGCTTCGCCTTGCGCTCACAGACCGTCGTTGAGGACACCCTGAGCGCTTTGTCCACCGGTGATGCCTGCCATAGAGTGCACGGGGCTGTATGAATGAGTTCTAGAGTATTTTGTCTGCATTGCATACAATTCGTGTGAATGTTCAACATCCCGCACTGAAAAACTTTGAATATCGTGTAACAGGGAGCTGGGCTAGAGACAAGCTTCAAGATTTATTACCATTTCTAAATTTTATGAGTTCTATTGTTTCCTATGCTCATTACCAGCTTTAGCTATAATGAGGGCTGAAAAGAGAAAAGAGCTGCAAAGAAGAAACATGCCACTCCCCCGACCCCACCTCCTGCCTGTTCTACCAGCAATTTAGTTCTTCTGTTCTGGCCTCTTTCGGATGTGTCTTACCTCTTTTTTTGGTGTGTATTCCTAGATAGTAAGGTACGAAAGAGCAAGGGGGAGTGTTACATGGACACTTAGCAAAGTTTTGAACACTTAAGATGTTTTTCTGGGAACTGGGCCACAAAGGTGATTTATGAAACACCCGTCAAGTTTCCTTTTGATCACATCAGGAATGCAAATTTTAAGTAGTTGGTGTGACTGTCATATAATATCTGGGGTATGCCTCCACAATTCAGGAAGTTTTCTTGAGACAATGAGGATGGTTAGAATGAGAGGGGAATAATCATTCGTTTGCCCCCGCTGCCTTATTTTATTTTATTTTATTTTTTCAAGTGTGAAACACACAAAGCAGGAAAGAGACTGATCCACCCCAGGGCGACTCTAGATTCCTGTAGTGCTTAGCGTCACTGGCGCGCCAGGAATGGGGTCGTGGTGGTCACGCATTACCGTTATTTCTTAACGAGTAGGTGAAGTGCGTTTGGTCATTTGACAACTTCGGGAACTCAGGTGGTGGGACTGGGCACACTAACTCAAGTTCAGGGACTCTCCTTGTCAGTTCTCCCGAAAACTTTGGAGAAACTCTATCGTGAAGCCTCAGGCTTTCCTAGGAGGCACTGCTCTTGTTTTCAAAGTGCTTAGTCTGTTTCGTGTTCTGCACGTAGTTACAAATACAGGTGTTTTCCTTCCAGCCCGAGTCCCCCGTTAGGTGCAGGTCGCTGGAATCCTCTGCTCTGAAGTTGAAAGCGGGAGATGGAATGAGAAGGCTGACAGCTCGCTAGTTCCTCTGCCACGCTTCCTAGGTCAAGTTTGCTAGCGCCCCGTTAAGGCCTGGGGAACAAATTCAGAGCTACTCCCGGGGGAGGGGGGGCAGGGGGGAGGACGCTGGGGTGCCCGGAGTGGAGCCCAGCGGGCTGGTCCGCCCCAAGCGCGCACGCCCCAGCCCTGCTGCCGCTGGGTGCCGAGCAGGTTCCAGAGCGGCAAAGAGCCGGAGAGCGGCTCCGCGAAGGTCGCGGATTGGGTGTTCCAAAGGTCCGCAGCAGCCGGAACTGCAATCTGCCTCGGTGGGCTTCCTTTAGGCCGGGGCAGAGGGGCTGGGGAGTCGCGAGCGAGGGTGCTGAGGGGAACTTAAGCGAGTAGAAAGTGGCAGCGTCTTGGGGAGAGCAGTAAACTTTTATTTTCCTCCCACAGCAAACAAAGTCGAGGCAGAGGTAGCGTTTGGCTGCTAATCTGAGGGGAGAACGGGGGATGGGGGGGGGGTCGGAGAATGCGGGGTGTGGAGCCTTTGGAGGACTCCAGAATCCAGCCCCCTGGCCGCTGCGCGCTTGTTGGGGAGGACCTGGTGCTTGAACCCGAGGGCAGACACTTGTTCTCCGCCAGCCCCGACTTGGGGCTTGCAAGGAAGCTTGGTGTTCAGAGCCCCTTCCCGCGTGCGAAGGTCATTTGCGCTTTTCAGTTTCGGACGAGAGGACACTCTGGAAGGGAAGGCGCAGGTCATTTTCAGAGCCTCTTGTAAAGGACGGGCCGCCTACCGAGAGTGGAAATCCTTAATTACACCCTTCTGCCTCGAAATCCATCTTCCCGGCAGTGTCTTGCACTCCTACCTCTTCGGGTGACTCCGCTGACCTGAAATGCCCACCCTAGGAAAGATCAAGCAAAGTAGTTTTCTAAGAAGGTTAGAGGTTTGATTACACAGAGAAGTGTTTCCACTTTGGTCCAAAGCAATTACCCGCCCCTCCCCCGTCCCTCTCCCCCACCCCCATCCCGCAACCCAGAGAAGAAAAGGACAGACCCCCCCCCCGGCACGCACGTACCCCTGCACTTTGTAGGTGCGTGTGAATTTCAGAGGGCGCTGTAAGTTCATTAGTGTTTGCAGTCAGCGGCGGGCAGACCCCTCATCAGAGCCGAAAGCCGGCAAGAGCCATTCATCAGCGTGAAGTGTTATTCACGGATGACCCCTAAATCACGGCAAGAGTAGTAGATGCACTGATTGGTCACAGCATGGGAGCCTTGGAGCTTTCCCGTACCCGACGCGGCCGGGAGGAGGGAAGGAGGGAGGGGCGGCGAACGTGGTTCAGTCCGGCAAGTCCCATTTGACAGAAAAAGGCAGTAAACGGGGAATCTCTTTTTCTGAATAAGGAAGAAGAAGAAATAAAGTACCTGTCATCTTGACAAGTGGCGGAGCGGCGGAGTCCAGGGTTATAAATGATCGCAGCCCGGGCCAGCTCGCCCTGTGATTGGGCTCTCCCGCGATCTGCACTGGGGGAAGCGCATGGTAGGCTCCTCTCCTCCCGCACACACACTCGCACACACACACGGACACGTGTACGCGCCTGTCTCGGGCACACTCGGCCCGGCGCGTCCCCCCGTCACACAGTCAAGGTCCTGGATGCCGCTCCCCGGCACGGCGCCCTGCTCGCCTCCTCACCTTGTCCTCTTCCTCCTCCCTCGCCGCCACCGTCCTCCGGCTCCCCCGCCGAGCACCGAAAACTCCGGCGCGGCCTCTCCGGCGGAGCCGGAGGCTTAGAGGGGCCGGCGGGAAGGGAGAGGGGGAGAGCGCGGGGGAGAAAAAGAAAGTGAACTCATTGGCGCTCCGGCGCGCCCGCCCTCCCCTCGCCGCGTCCCTCGCCCGCCGCGGCCGGGCGCCGGGCAGGGAAGGAAGTTGTAACACTTGCTGTTCTCCCCCCGCCCGCCCCCGCCCCCGTCCCCCACGCTCCGCTGCCTCGGCGGGGCCCCCTCCCCCGCGCCCGGCTCCTTTGAATTTGGCCAAGTGCGGGGTGTGCGCGCTGCCCGGGTGGACGCGGCGGCTGCGGCCGCGGAGCGAGCCGGAGGCGCGGGCGAGCCGAGCGCGGTAAGTGCTGCGCCGCCGCCGGCGCGCCCTCCTTCCTTCCTGGGGTCCTAGTGCCCGGGCCGCGGCGCCGGGAGCGGGCGGGCGGGCGGGCGGGCGGGCGGGCCGGAGCCGGCGCGGACGGCGGCGCGGTGCCCCGCGCGGCTCTGGCAGGCGGCAGCAGGTGGGCCAGCCCGGGTGGCCCGGGAGCATCTCCTCGGCGTGCGGTCTCGGCGGGTCTGGCCTGCCAGTTCCCGGCCTCTCCGTCCCCGCCCCGCCCTCGCGTCTGACACCTCGGGCTGCCTGCTCAGGTGGGAACTTCGCCGGCGCCTGGCGCCGGAGGAGCTGGGCCGGGCGCTGCGGTTCCGGGGAGCCCCGGGCTCGCGGGCAACCCGAGGGAGGCAGCCCCGGGGGCCGGGCGCTCCGTGGGGGCAGGGAGTCTAGCCCGTCTGGCTCAGGTCGGGGCGATCCCCAGTTTTGTGGCGGGGCGCCGCGTCCTCGGAAGGTGTCTGAGAAGATCTTGGGGGCCTCCAGCGAGCGGGAAGCCCTGAAATGGCACCACTCTCCGGGGCAAGTGAAAAGGAGTCTTCAACTACCAGGCGGCCCAGTTGGGAATGGAGAAGGGGACGGGAACGAGGGGCTGGGGTGGCGTGGGGAGGGGTAGATCTCGACTGAAACTTCATCGGGGCTGGAAACAAGCAGATAGCCTGAACTGGGCAATTTACGAATCTGCAGCTCAATCTCCGGCTGTGTGGTGTTTTCCAACCCACTGGAAGAAGCTTCAAACATTTTAGGTTGAGGTGGGCTCTATCTGATCTCTGCTGAACACCTTATGATGCAGTTTGGATTCCGTTCTTACTGCCTCACCTTTAAGGTAGCTGTAATGGTAACCTGCTACTAATTCTTACTGGGGAGGAAGGGTACCAGGTAATTCTACCGTGCAATGCGGCAGATACATTTGTTTTCTGAAGTCATGATAATCTAAAGCTAGAGAAAAGTTTCCAGGTACTTTTGGGTAAGTGCTGTGGAAGTGAAAGGGTGAGGGCTGTCCAGGCACTTTTTACAGGGCCCCAGACAGCTGGGATTCCGGAGAACAGGACTGTCTCTTCATAATACTCTTATTTCTTATCTTCTGACAGTGTATCTGTCAAACATTTGGAGGCTCTGGCAGAATCCACTGGGTGGTCTTTTCGCTAGAAACAGAAATATGTTCAGGCATTACCTTTCCTTTCTGTTGTCAAAAACAAAACCAAACAAAAAGGCAGGACTAGCATCTTTGGAAAGCCTGGAAGCGTACCCCAAAAGGTGGTATTGCAACTGAGCAGAACTTGTGATTTGATTCTTTTAGTGAATTTGCTTAGAATACGATGCATACCCCTCCTCCACCCGAGTGCCTACCTGGAAAAGTATTTGTGGTCTATCTAGGATATTAGGAACAGAGTTGAGAATATAATGAAAACTCATTATAGATTTTAATATTTCAGTTGAAACAAAAATTTTACAAATACACCAAGGATCTTGCTTTGTGCACTCCTTAATACATTCTTAATTATCTAAAACTTCTAGCTTTTATTTCTTAATATATGAAATTCTTGTAAGAGCCTTGGAACTTTCGATTTGTGATTCTAAATGCAGAGCAAATATTTAATTCTTGCTCTAAGTGTGAGAGGTTAGTTCAGTAATAAGACTTGCTAATCCCACTTTAAAATGTCAAGGCATTCACAAATTATTCCTAAATTCTTCAAAGATGGGGTTTACAATGAGTTTAGTTAAGTTATTCTGTTGTGTATTTCAGGATTGAATGTATCTCTCTTCCTGTTGCATTTTCCTTGCCAATCTGCCTTTTTTTCTTGTTTGAATTTTAGTATTCTTCTTAACTCAAAGATACTATTTTTTTGCTGGTGGTCAATATATTTTATTTTAGACAATTTAGAAGAGAATATATATTATGAGAGAAAGTAGTTCCTTTAAGTAAGACAGGTATATTTTTACATATACTACACAATTTTTATGAAAATGTACTAATAACTATACCAGTGCTTATATATTTGAAAAATACATTAATATCCTGTGCCAACAGCATTAATGTTAGCGACTCATTGACAGGGAGTATCGACCCTAGTGAGGACTTCTTAATTATGTAAAATAAAGCAGATAAAATTATAGTAGAATTCTGACTAATTTTTTTTTCCAAATTGAATCATTTTGAATGGCTGAGTTTATTTTCTAGAAAGAAATGTTTTAGGTAAATTATAGAGGCTTTTCTTACTCTGATCTTTTAGGCGTGTCATGAGTCTTTTGGTTAGAAAAGAGAACCTGCTTTATTAGGGTGAAGACAAAGAAAGATAAGGATGCTTATCTTTGAATAGAAGAAAGTACCTAAATAGAGTGAAAAGTTTTACATTTATTCGGAAAGAAAACCTAGCTAAACCATAATAATCCAGTTAGCAAGTTCAAGCTACTCTTCCTTAGCTTTGCTTCTGAAAGCCAAGAGTTAAAATTATTTCCTTTGTAGAGAGTCAAGCAGATAAGAAACCAGGCAAAAGTGTATGGCTATCGTTGTGAGTAGAATGACCTATCAGGAATACTTGATCAACTTTGAGCTTGATGTACAGAAAATGTTTTTCCCATTGCTGTGAAAGCATGTTTGGAAATAGCCAAGTTTGTTCTGCCTACAATAGTTTTGGGAAGTAAGTCCTGAAGATAGTCATAGTCTAATATAAAAGCAGCATAAAGACAACTTTGTTTGTTTATTAATATTGATCATTTTAATAAATACATTACCTCCTTTTTATTAAGCTCTATTTATCCCTTTAAAGTTTTTATTTCTGGGCAGCTGAGGAATGTCATCAAGGTATTTTACTTACGTGAATCGGTGTATTCAGCAGTGTTAATGAATTGTCTGCCCTTTTCCTGAAGATGTGCTGTAGAAACCTGTTAGGCATGTCCATTGACACATTGCTTATCTACCCAGTGTTTTATTTGATAGCCAAATGTCTACTTTGACTTTTAGAACATACTCTCTTTACTTCAATTGAGAATATGAGCAAAAAATACAGTAATTTGCTATCAAACTTTTACTCTGATCCACACCCAATTATATATCTCTTTGAATTTTCAGTTAAAGCCAGTGTTAATGATAGTCGAGAAGAATTTAACACTCACTCAAAATAAAGAAGTGTATTGAAAAGACAGCATAATAATGTTATGCTACTTAGAAGTTTTAATAACCAAGTCTTAAAAATTATGTCATGTAAGCTTCTTTCAGAACACATTCAAAACCTTATTTTGGAGATAACAGATGTTTTAAGAATCCTGATGGACATTTTGTACTTAAAAAAAACTTGTAAGTTTCAAAACTGATTAATTGTTGTGTCTTATAAAAACTGATTTATTTCATACTTTTTTATATACCAAGCATTACCATTATGAAGCTCTCCTTCTAATTGAGATTAATGTTTCTGAGCAAAGAAGTGGTTTAGAGGGCTGCATTCATTTTGAGTGCTGTTGTAATCAATTTTAGATACAGCATTCCACAGTGGGTCAGTTTGCATCCAAACCTGCCTTATTATGTAGAATTAACTTGTTGGTGATTGATAGTAATACTTCTACATCTTGAGAAGTCATTTGTTTCCAAACAAGTGTGATGGCTTGTATGAGTTTTAAAATATTGCTTCTTATAATTAAAACATCCTTTGGGGGACTTAATTTGAACTTTCTCTAAGAATTGTATAAAGCATGAGGAAGCAATTCATTAATACATATTCAACTGCAATAGGCTTTTTTCTTCCAAATACAATATGCCTCAGGTGTATTTTCTTGTTTGTCAAAAGGCTTTGTGGTCTTTTGGAGTCATAAATGGTAAACATTATACAACTAGGTTATTTCCTTTTTTGTTTATATCAGTATTCTAGTTGAGTTTTTCAAGGAATTCTTAGAATTATAGATCCACGTCTTGCACATGCATTATAACTTTTATTTTATAAGGTGGTAGGTATAATCTTGACAATGAAAGGTAATGCATGTGGAGGTAATTCTTTATCCTCTTTGGAAACCTGGAAAGATGGAGACTATGATCATCCCTACGACGATGTTTGCGTTTGTACATTAGCGGTGTCTGGTCTCAACTTTATCAGCATTTTATTCTCTTCCGAAAGACCGTGTGAAGATTTTCTTGGACTTTGGTCCACATTGCATTGCTTACTGTGATATATGCTTATAGTCTCAATAAAATAAAGTATCAAAAGCACAAAATCAAAGATTAATATAGATAACTATTCTAATATAAGTCATCATCTCTAGAATTTTTAAATAAAGATGTGACTGCTTTATAGTGAATATAAAGTTCCCACAGTGCATTGTTTTCTGCTTTCAGGAAAAAAAAACTTGGTAGGAAATATGTTTATTATATTTTAATTTTCTTCACTGTAATGATAGATTATGTACACTGAATTAGTGTTGTTCCATTTAAAAGCATTCACTAAAAACAGTTCGAAACGCTAAAATAATGTCCTTAAAATGCCATTTTCAAAGCATCATCTTAGCCCCCCATTAGAATATAAACTTTCCAAATGCAGAAATATGCTCTAAGATATAGAGCTGTTTCAAACACCAAAACCATAATAGGATTCCTTCACTGGAAAGAATGTTGATTTGTGTGTATCTGTGTGTGTGTGTGTGTGATTTCGATTAAATAACTCGGGTGACTCGGTAGTTAGAATAGCTGTGTAGAATTCCTGTAAAAGATAATAATCTACTGAAACCTCCTTCCTTCTACTTCAGATAAGTTACCGAGCAA